CTATTGTTCTTTCGACTTTTTCCACGCATTTTCCAGCAAGTTGGAAGATGCTAAGCCAGTCTTTATGATTATGGCAAGCTTCTCTTTTTTTCCATAGAATCTGACACTAATTAAGAGAGGACTGCCATCCAGGTCAATAACCGATTAAAAAACTTTGTCAAGTCATTCATAGAGCATTTCTCTACAGCCAATCCATTTTGAAGAAAAATGCTTAAATGATGATGAGGACATTACAGGGAGGCCACAGTTTGAGAATATATTGGAAAGTGATGCAAAAATCATACATACGGAAAATTGTTTTTAGAACAATTATCAGAAGTTCATTACCTAGCTAATTGTTACTACAATACCATATCCTCTGGAACCTTCCTCCTCCTAACCAAATAGAGTTCCGTAGAAATTCTACATATTTCAAGTCCAACTGGTTGTCATAGAAATCAAGGTCAGAAAATTGTCCAGAAGTATCCACAAAGGGTAAAAACGGGATAGTAATGAGCACACTTTTTTTTATACGAGGGAAACCTTGTGGGGAGTTACACCAGACGATCAGCCCGATTTCAAGCCCTAGCCACACCTTAGGAGGCATCACGAGGTTATTATCCCCTACCCACATGGGGACACATTCACCCACAGGGGAGACCCCTCTCGGAGACAACTAGTCATCAATAGGACATCCACCGGACCAAGTAAACCCCAGGTATTACTAACCACCATTAACTTCAGCAATAACAGGTGAACGTGAGAAGGGGAATCAAACCTAGGCACCTGGAGGACACATTGATCATTCCCAACCATGTGAGCTCACCCCTTGGTGGTATGAGCAAACTTTTCTGTCTGAAGAAAGTGAAGGGTGAAGTTGTGAATGTACATATCCTAATGAGACTATGATGGATGATGGCAACACTAAAGGGAGTGATATAGGATATAGACTTTTATATGAACATTCATAATTTACTGTGAAAGGCTAAAAGACATATGTCACGTGACGGTTGGGTACCTCAAACAAAATTGGGCTAAAAACCAATCGAAAGAAAATCTTAACTCAAATAGAGAAAAGAGCATTGAGGTTTGTCTGTTCAGAAAGCTTACAATAGAAAGTATCTTCCTGAGATAAGTAATATATAGGCTTACCATGACTTTTAGTATTGCACCTTCATCACAAACATATTCACTCGAAGAGACTTGTGATGGACTGCTGCCGTCTTCTAACTTGCTGGTTGAGCATATGGTAGTTTGAGAAGATCCATGAGTACAATTATCTGAATGCAGCTTGGGTGTACCATCACCCTCCATAGGTGCATCAACTTCTTTTAGGCGATCAATCTTTAGTAATTCCTCAAAACGGTCTTTGCACATTTGAAGCTTGAACCATTCATTGTGTGTATGCAGAGTTACTCTCATTACTTTCATCAGTTGAGGTTCTTCAATGCCCAACCTCCTACCGATAGCAACCTATAAACTAGGATGTTAACTTGCAGATATAAGAGATTTAATAAGATTAGAATATACCAAACAGAAATTAATATATCAAATTACTTTAATATGTATGCATTATAGACTTTATTATTGCCTCCTGATGTGAATGTTTTCAAGAATCAAAATTATTTTCGCGATTGGTTCATAACCACAAGCACAGAAATTATTCAGATGGTTGTCTGGCCGCTTGTAAATACGTAGGACGATATTAGGTAAGAGATAAATTTAAATCCAGTAACATAAGAATCTTTGGCGAATAGTAGAATCACAAGGGCATTAGGAATTTTTTCGGTGAGTGAATAAAGCTGCAGTGCTCTTATTCCAATATAAGGGAATTTTAGGTTCCTTGTAAGAATGAAAATAATGTAGGAAAAGTTTTGCACGGAAACAAAGAAAGGTAAACTTAACCATTAGCTGCAGTGATCTTATTCCACTTGGAGATCTTTTCAAGTCTTAAATTTAGGACAGCTAGATGGAAAGAAAATTATTAAAGTGATGATCTCTAGTTTATTCCAATTAGCGACCTTTTTCTCATCCTTTTCCGCTGTAGTAGCAGAGGACGTTTTGCCCCCTTTACGTCCTCATATATCACAAAACATACTCACATGTTATGGAAATTTGTTGTGACAATATTCTAACGGAACCAAACAGCTCCTAAAACCTCGCTTAGTTAGCTGACTTGGATGCAGACCAGTACGAAAATAAATAAAATAAAAGAAGCATGCAATAACTTCACTAAATATATTTAAAACTTAAGGCTGTCACCTGGAGAGAAGTTGCCAGTGCAGATAAGGGGAATGCTTTGGCAGCTGCTTCATTAGAATTAAGTACAGCCAATAAAGTTTCCTTTAAGGGCTTCATCAAAGCTCGATTGCTTGCAGCCAAAGGACCTAAATGAGTGCTAGCAACTTTCAGAGCCATGGCAAGATCACCACCATTAACCAAATTAAGAAATTCAACCTGAAAACAGCAAGAAAACATGACCATGCTTCACTGAAATTGAAGCTATAAGATATATCTTATGGTGAAATAAATAATTACCTGCTTTAATTGGAAATATAGAATAGGATTTTGATGAAAGAAGTCTGGATCTAAAGCGTTCACTTCCTCAACAACTTCAGCAGCCAATCCTTTGTTAGCCAATTCTTTCATTTCTAACACGACCTCAAGCTTGTTATCGTCATAAATGTTAACATTTTCCAAGGAGGAACTGTAGCTGGAGGCCTAACAAACATCATATCATAAATAATTGTTCAATGAAAAAGCAAATGTATACTTAACATAATTTTGGTTAACCTGACCTGCTCTTCCCCAAGTTTACAATCACTACTACCCTTATCTGAAGTCATCAACCCTTTGCTACTTGTTTCAGAAGATGGAACATCACATGTTAGTTCTGACCTATCAATTCGCCCTCTCCATCTCTTACGCCTCCTTCCATCTGAATGGCATCGCCTCCTCAGCCTTCTAGAACAACTTTGTGAATGATTAGCATCACTGGTGCTACAATCTTCATGACTGCTCGACACTTCCGACGCAAATCTCATTTCAACATCAGTAACTTGCATGCTTGCAGATTCAGCATTAGCTTCTTGGACACATATAGCATCAACATTACTAACAGAGGTTTCACCATCAGAAAGCTTGCAATTCACAGAGTCTAAGTTAACAGAACAGTCCCTTGATGAGCTGTTTGCGAGGTTCATTGCTGTAGTAATCAGAAAAATATACATTCGATTACAAGACTCTAGTAAAGGGTAAGCTATAAAGAAACAACACAAAGAAGAGAAGAAGACATGGACAAATATTACCTGATGGAGGCTTAGTAGCACTATCAACTATTCCTCTGTACATGCAGTACTCGTGGACAAGATGATCAAGCCCTGACACATCCAGTCTCCTCCGGCACAATTCGTTCTGTATACATGTTCATGAGAAGACTTAGGAAGTACCATCTTAAATTAGACCCAAAACAACTGCAAAAATTAGCATCAAGACATCTATGATTTTGACTCTACACGTGTAGATACAGATTTAATCTACACAACTAATAATTTAGTTTTCAAAGGATTCCGCTGAATATAAAATAAAAGCAGGGAGTGGGTGTTAGATGGTACTGCAAAACCCAACAATTCAAGAGCACGGAAAGTAAAACAAAGACAATAATGCAAATATGATCAGTCTGAAATGTAAATAGAGAATGCATCAATAAGAATGGATAATGATCATCATGACAATGATAATGCAAGTGTCTGCTGAACACAGCAGCGTTATGCATCTCTAACTATAAATATTGACTATTTAACTGAAGGTAAATAGTAATAACATGTATAAACACCTTTCACATAAAACACATGTAGCTAGCCTGAGACACAATTTTCTGCATTGATGTGGAAACTAGATGGGGTTATGATATAGGCTACACATATGCAGCAGATAATAAAAATCAACAGAGACACATCATACATAGCAAATATGCCTACATGTGCATGCCATTAATAAGACTTAGATTACATAAATGCATCTCAAAATCAAAGTTAATAGTAAATCCTTCTTAAATGAAGAATAGACGTAGAGTCATCAAAACATGTGCTTTTTTGGAAAAAGAAAAGGTATGGAGACTTCCTAAATATCAATCTCCATGATACCACCTTGAATTTTCACTTTGTTCAAGTGGGTCCCAGTGAAGTTTCTATAAGCACCCCCCCCCCCCCCTTCTCTCTCTCTCTCTCTACCTTCACCTACGCACACACACTCAGAAGCTCTCACAGTACATTTTCTAATGACTATAAACTATTCATAAAAATTAGATTACTTTAAATGTGGCCTGTATATAAATGCTTAGTCAGTATATAGGCAACTACTACTTTTAGAAACTACAGTTTTGCGTTCACTACTCAATCAATCTTTTACATATTCATGCATTGTACAATATAACCATGAGGGAATGTTGATCTTAGTTTAGTTCAAATAGATATACCATCTTCATGCATGCACCCACTAATATACTCTGCATAATGTTCACATTAGCGTCCTCTCTGAACTACAATACTCTAATTAGCAACTTGTGTTCAAAAAGAAAATACCATTAAACTTCTAAAGAATTAATGTCTAAGGGTGCTTGCTCTCTGTTGATGATATTGATAGTTCTGAGGCTACAGAAGGCAATTTTGGGAGTAGAAAGAGAGAAGTTTCTGAATGTGATGAAAAAATTGAATATCATAGCAAAACCGTAACATCTAAAATGAATTAAGCAAAACACTAAAAAATGAGAAATTAATGCAGAAGGAATTCCTAGAAGGTTATTTTCGCTACTTAGAAATACCATTCTTCACAATAACGAAATGACAAGGATGAGGCTCATGAAGCCAAAGTGGGATGGCTAGAATAGGGAATATGCATGTAAAATACATAATGCGACAATACAATACCTATGAAATTGAGGAAGAATTTATGAGACAACTATGTCGACCCAAAATCCTTTGATCCAAATATTGAGAATTATGAAACACGTCCAAAATAAATAAAGCAAAAAATTTGAACGTTGACGATGGAATATATACCAAGAGATAGGATGAGAATGAGTGTATGATAAATAGCGGTGACTTCCATCGATGATTGTTTAGGCATGAGAAGCCAATAAGAGTAATCATGCTAATTAGGAGCAAAGGATTGCGGAAAGGAGCTACAGAAGATTAGACATAGGCCTAGCAAAAAGTGTAACTGGACATGTATGGAAGCAGTTAAAGGATATATGATAGCTGTTAATCTGAGGAAATCCTCCTAGAAGAGCTGGATGAAATAAACAGTAAGTCATGAACCCCTAAAAATTGGGAAGAAACGTACTTTTCACTCCTTCCACATATCCAGACTAACTTAGGTATTTTTTTAATATGTGATGTACGCTACAGTACCAACCAAAATAATAAGGTTTGTTTTTGGAGGTTGAATGTTGACGCATGGATGCACAGGTGAGAGTCAATTATCCATGTAAGCTACCACTGATAAGAAAAATTCTGAACTACATGTCAGGTATGTTGAGAGTTTTTATCAGGGTTTGTGGTGGTGTTTTTGAAAGGATAATAGCATTCAAGAATGAACTGATTCTTTTACAAATATGTCAAATAATTATTTCAGAAAAATACCATGTTTCTCCGAATTTCAGCTACTAAAAGCCAAAGCTAAGTGCTTGATGGGTTCTGATGGGCACCGACCCCCTGTTTAATTCGATATGCAAGGGAAATTTCAACACTTCAATTATGCAAATCGGACAATATGCTTTGTCCAAGTCTATTAGAAATTTCGCAATTTAATATTACACAGCCACATATCCCCAGTTTTTATCCCCAGTTTGAAGATTTACTTAGGACTAGTACCTCCATTGCCCTCGGAGAGGACAATGAATCCATCATGATCGACCGGCATGTAGATTCCATACATTCCAACACTTACCACAAAAAAACAAATGTTCTAGAAGAATATAAATGATGAATTCATGAAGCACAAGCAACACCACTCTTCTAACTTTAGAGCTAAGAATCAAGAACCAACTCATAGTAACCTTGCACAAGTCTTAGTCACAGCCAAGAAATGGGAACGAAAATCATAACCATTTCGCGTCAGCCTGAAGTAATACTTTGTCAATGGATTGGGGTAGCTTTACCTATCTGAGGCATGCACCATAACAGAACCTTTTACCTATCTGAGGCATGCACCATAACAGAACCTATCTAATAAAAATGCTTTTCATAATAGTGATGAGATAGAGTGTTGGGAGAGTTTTCTAAGTCGCATTCGAGGTTCAAAATATCATATCCATTTAAATTACAAATTTCGGTATTGATATTGGGAGTTTCAGCTGTTTCAATTGAAATCATCAGATGACTTAACTGTGGTTTTACAATTTCTTCAAAAGGTTTAATTATCCAAAAATAGTACAGACATTTGTAACCCAAATCGATGTACTTAATAACTCCAAGTGGGATGTAATTAATTAATTAGAAATATGAATAACTAGTTATTTTAACAATATAAAGTGATACATTTGAGTTCAGATTATAATGAAGTTAATAATAGACTTAATCTAATTTCATAGTCATGTAGATCTCAAGTTGCCAGTCAGATACAAATATAATGAAGAACTTTCTAAGGATAAAGAGATGACATAATGCTTTTTTATTCTTATATTGGGTTCAATCAAACGAAGTAAAGAGACAAGATGCAATATTTGGGAAATAGAAAACTAACCAAATATATATGACCCTGTGTTTTGCTTCAATGCTCCATACAATGAAATTTTAATATTATTTTTAAAAGGGCAACTACGTAATGAATAATTATAGGTGAAAAGAATATGTGAAAATCATATTTATTAACACACACACACACACACACACATACATACATACATCATCTTTCTAACTCTTGATACAAATTGATATTATTCACAAAATCTAGCAAAAAGCAATTGATCTTATGAAGAATGAAAAAAGAAAATGAGAATGCCTCTCCTTAACAGATCACAGATGCTTATTAATACTGGATAGAAGGAATTTAAAAATTGGGATTCCCTTCAAATTGAACTACAAAGAGGAAAAAGATAACCACATATTAAAAAATAGATGTCTTCTCCAAATACTTATACTATATTTCAAAAATAGGGAAAAAAGAATAATCTATTTACAAGGTTGCCATCTATTGAAGAGATCTTTATTTATGTGAAATGAATAAATCGGGAAAATTACTAGTTTCCATTAAATCATTTCTGAAGCTGTTCTGTATGATTTTTATGAGTTAAACATGTAATTCCTTGAAGACAATGAACTAATCCAACTATGTCGAATACAGGTCTTTTCTGGGCTAAACCATTCTGTCCCTCAATGGCTTCACCAGAGGTAAACAGGTCACATGCATTTTTACCAATCTACGTGCCTCAACAACCAGACAAAAGGGGAAATCAGATGAGGCTACCATTATTTTATCCAAACAGAGCATACCATCGATAGAACAGAAAGATAAAATGAATGACTAGACTTGATCATTGATGCAAAATTGCCAATGAATAAGCGGATATTTGCTACCATGGGAGGACATTACTACAAATATGTGGCACCTGGATAATTCATGTCTTTTTTATTTCTATCTTTTTGTCTGCTCTCCATCAATGGGTTCGTGACTTATTTTTTTCATGGGACTTGTAGTAGCACAGTAACAAAATCTTTTTCCCCTTTTCTCCTGTTCCATATTCTAGATATGTTCATATTGGAGTATTTCAGGGCCTTTCGGCTCATTGAGGTCCGAAAACAGAAAAACTAAATTTAAAAAAAATAAAGTAACCATGTGCCACCCAGTTTTCATAAACCTCCCTTAATTTCGAATCTACTGAGAACTTTTCTGATCCAATACCAGACGCATGTTTACATATTGATACTGTTTTAACGTTCAAACATTGTATATTGTTGGTCCTCAGGTTCACTGGAGTATTGTTTCACGAGATATTATCCTCTATTGACCTCTCCAAAATCTAGTCAACACTGTAAAAGACAAAGTCAACACTTAAGGTCTAGTTTTATGGTGTGATGCTTTTTCCATTATGGGGAATGGAGAGATCATATCATTTTAGTGTTTTTTGTACGTCCCTAGAGGTCTGCACAAATATTGCTGAGCAGTCAATGACACCTTGCCAATTCTCCATTCAAAAAAGGACAAACATGACATTCCTAAAGACAAAGGATCTATATGGAGAATCAGAATAGACGAACAACGAATTTCCAATAAAATTTTTATCATCAATACCCAATGTCTACAAGAAGTTAGCGACCTCTATTGACCAATTCCGATAGTGACCTCTATTGATCAATTCTGACAAACCAAGCAAAATAAAACTATCTAAAAGTTAAACATGATATTTAAACTCAAAAACAAAAGGTAAAAAAGTTTGAATATAATAAATCTGACATACTGCAACAATTCCCCTTAAGCTAATTAAAGAACACATAGCGTGTTGGGAAGTCCTTGTTGATCATGACTAAAATTTACATGTCAGAAAAGGATAAAACAAATTGCTTAGCCATCTCCAAGAGGAAGACAGAATCCATATCTTATCGATCTGTTAGACAAATATACTTTACAATCTTTAATTGAACTGTTTTTGCCATTGAAACATATACCTGAAATGCCTGAAATAAATCTCCCTTGGCAAATCTTAGGCTATCAATTGCTCCTTGCCTGGTTACCTCTACAGCATGTGCGAGGGCTTGTATATCAACCTAAGAATTCAACATTGTCATAACTAGCTATACAAACATCAGATCTAGAGAAACCATCACAAAGTAAAATTTTACCTCATCAAATGGTGGTGCCTCGAACAAACTTTCCTGAGGAGTTGCAGGTGGGTCACGATCATCAAAAAGCAACCTCTCAGTAAGATCTGATATCGGAGAGGAAACACCTTGCCGAAGACAATACACTTTGTGGATACTGCAAATGATACAACAATCATAAGGAAAAGGCAGCTGACAAGTTTACAACTATACACAAAGCAATTAGTAGAGATTAAAAAGGTAACCCATAGACACAAAAATAATCATATGAAAGGTTAACGGTTACCTTATTAAGTATCGCAAGGTCATCGAAAAAAGTGGATCATAGGCCTGTAAAAATGCTCTTAATATGGAAGCCATCAATCCAGCAAGATCAAACCTCTGTTTCTCAGACCACTGAAACACAAACAAATATTTAAGTGACAGAAGGTAAAATGGAAAGAGTATCACTTTAATTTATGACTAACGCTTCAAACCATTCTTTTCCATGGATGAGATAAAATGTTCAGCAATCATAATACCGGAAAATCGACTAATTTATAATGAGCAAATACTCAAAAAAGACGAATCTACTTGAAGCTAACTTGTCTAGAGATTAGATTAAGCATACTCATCTGAAAAGGAAAACAGAGAGAAACATCAACAAGCTTGAGCAAATAAACGTTATTGTTGAAAGCATCTATAGTACTTTGCTACCAATACAAGAACATTTTTTAAGTCAGATTTACACTGGCAAGCAACATCTCAGGAAAAAGACTGGCTTAGCAATTGAAGGTAGTCATACTTGGCGGATGAGAAAAATAATTATAATAAAGTTGAAGAAGCGAATAAAAACTACACCACTAAACCTAAGATCCAACGCAACATTTGAAATAGCTCACATGACCAATCACTACTACAACATTAACTGGAATGAGAATTGCTGGTTCAGATCATATAAAAGCTCTAGCTGCATAGTACATATTCAGGTTTCTATGAAACACCCAAATCTTGAACTAGTGCAGGTATATGAGAGGAAACCTTAAATCCAATTAAAATAGTGATAAAATTAAAGTAAAAGGAAAATATAACACAGGATGCACAGGACAATATCCAAACCAACAAAGCATGAGGTAAATAAGTTTGAAAAAATTGGTTGTTGCCAAGAAGACCTAAATTGCTTCAACAGAGCAACAAACTTAAAAAGGCGTGTTGATTCATTGAAGGAGGGCATGCTTCCTAATCAGTGATGCAGTTGATTAGTAACCCAATTGCCCTCCTAGATAGCAAAATTTCCATAAGAAATAAAATAAGAAATAACTGAGCTATAAGAAAGGACGATATAACGAAACTAGTCAGATTCGATTAAAATTCGAACAAATATTAGAACGAAATTTGATGTTAAACAAAATGTCGGATGAAATTTATATGCTTGGGAGAACATAAAAATTTCATTTGAGAATCCACTATGGCGAAAGTAGATCTTTAAAATTTTCATTTGAGAATCCACTATGGCGAAAGTAGATCTTTAGCTGTTATGCCCTGTTTGGATGGAGGGTAGAGAGGGGGAAGGGAAGAGAAATAAGGCTTTCACCTTGTTTGGGAGTTTTTTTAAGGAGGGTAGAGAGAAGGAAGGAAGGGGAAAGGAGGGTAAAATTGCTTGGTTTTCTTCCCCCCCCCCCCCCCCCCCTATCAAAACAAATAAAAGGGCTGATGTGTTATTAGTATAAAGTCATTTATGTAAATTTACATATATTTACTTCCTTTCACCTTCATTCACAAAATGCCGCAGACAAATAATCTTGATCCTCTCCTAAAGATATTTTGAAAAGACTCTAAAACAGTTTGAGAATCAAGGATGGGCAATAACTCAGCAGATTGAAGGCAGAAAAGCTGGTCCTAGGTCCAAAAGGACTGATATGCAACAAACATCTAGGAAGAGAAGATAATCGGAGAATATTTTACAACCCCCAAACATATAATATTAAGCAGGTTCCAACTGTCTCTACCAAATAACTAAAATTAAAATAAATACAAAATTTCTTCA